TTTTGTACTTTCATTTTCTCCTGTTAAAGGTTATACACTGAATGCATGCAACACTGTCGAAATTTTGATAACTAATCGGTGGTTGTGTTACATGATATTTTTCTTTCATTCTTTTTTTTTAATTGCTAAATGTGACAAAGTATAGTGTGGAATCCAGTCATATAGGTGCATAGTTGTGAATTAATTTTTAGGCCCTCATTTCCATGAAATGAATAGTAGAACTGCTCAAGCTGAGCTTGTTGGGCGTGTATAGGCCCAGTACTGATATGGAGATGCGGTTTTTCTTCAAATTTGCACCTTTGTTATTTCCTAATTTTTCCACTGTAATACAGGCTTACGTTGATGCAGTTCTTGATTTAGCTTCTCATTTCATTACTCGCTTGCGGCGCTATGCAAGCTTTTGTCGCACATTGGCGAGCCATGCTGGTTCTGCAGGAACTGGCAGCAATCGCAATATGGTGGCTAGTCCTACCCAAAGTTCTGCTTCTCCAGCAACAAGTCAGGGTCAGTATCTCTTAGTCTTCTCATTATGAAAAAATGTAATTGATTATTTCTATTGTTGGGTTCACATGCAAAAAGGTTAAAAAGAATAAAAATCAAGTTATTATGCCCTACATCAGGATTGACCAGATGGGGTTGGTCCTAAATCCCAAACCATTTAGATGTTAGAATATCTTCTGATGCATCTGAGGGTTTGTGTGGCATGATTTTTCGTACTCATGTCATGAGACGGTTGCTGATTGTTTTCTTCTCTTATTTTGTCTCCGTATTTCGCATTGCTTGCAGTGCAGCATTTCTTTGATAATGTAATGCTATATTTTTTCAGGAGGCCAAAGTGGAACTACAACTTCCACAGGAAACACCCAGATGCAAGCTTGGGTACAAGGTGCTATTGCAAAGATTAGTAGTACCTCTGATGGAGTGCCCAATTCAACTCCAAACCCCATCAGCGGACCATCTTCCTTCATGCCAATAAGTATCAACACGGGAACATTTCCTGGAACACCTGCTGTTAGGCTCATTGGGGATTGCCACTTTCTTCATAGGTTATGCCAGCTTTTGCTTTTCTGTTTTTTCTTTCGGCGAACCCAGCTACCTCGTTTTGTTGGGGGTGCACAGAGAAATACTGATGCAAATATGCAAAAGCCACAGCCTGGTGCTCCTGGGAAGGTGGAGGAGGTCAGCTCTGTTACTGTAAAGTCATCGTCAACCATGGTTAGACAGGATGAGGGTCAGGTAGCTCGGGCTGGTCAGATCATACCTGGAGCAAAAGGAGCTGAAGAAGGACCTGCTGGAAGGTCGAGATTGGGTGCTGGAAATGCTGGTCAGGGATACACTTTTGAGGAGGTAGAAACTGATCTCTGCCCTAAATATGACATGTGACTTCAATTGTTCATATCTGGCTTATATCTATTATTTGATTTGTGAACTGTGAATGGGTTTTCCAACCTTCGTGTCTCATATTCTGAAATTTAAGTGTAAGGGCAATTTCAATTGATTGGATAATTCCGTCCATAAAAGAAAATCAGTAAACAGATCCTAGAATGACATAATGCACCCTGTTGCTGTCCCATAGGTCAAAGTCCTTTTCCTCATCCTTATGGATCTTTGCCGGCGAACAGCAACCCTGGCACATCCATTGCCAGTTTCTCAGGTGGGAAGCAGCAACATTCAGGTGCGGCTGCATTACATTGATGGCAATTATACTGTACTTCCAGAGGTTGTCGAAGCATCACTTGGCCCTCATATGCAGGTATGGTTTCCTAAAACACCACTGATTATGGTGGAGTTGCATGGGTTCTGCTTTCACTTGTCATCGATAATGTAGGCCTGTGATATTACAATGACCTAGGAGTAAAATAAATGAGGATCAACTTTCTTGCTAACTGGTTGCTTAAAATTCCCTGACGTTCATACAGTAGTGTATAGTTTTTATTTTTATTTTTATTTTTTGTAAGTGTCAATCACAATCTTCTTCTCTTTCTGATGGTAAAACAGAATATGCCCCGGCCTAGAGGTGCAGATGCTGCTGGTCTGTTACTCAGAGAGTTAGAACTTCACCCTCCAGCTGAAGAGTGGCACAGGCGGAATATGTATGGTGGGCCTTGGTCGGATCCAGACGATATGGGTCCTCAAGATGATACTCCCAAGCTATGTAATTCTGCTGACCCACTTGGTTCCAACTCATTGGAAAGTTGTGAGGTTTATTATGGAGCCCATGGTCTGTGGCCTAGGAAGCGCAGGATGTCTGAAAGAGATGCAGCCTTTGGCTTAAACACCTCTGTGGGTTTGGGGGCATATCTTGGTATAATGGGATCACGGAGAGATGTTGTTACTGCTGTATGGAAGACTGGTCTTGAAGGGGTTTGGTACAAGGTTTGATATCAAAAGTCCTCCATGTTTTTTTGTCTCTCCATCTTATAGTTTTTGGTCCTTTGGATCTTATTTTCTACTCCTATTTGCATGCAGTGCATAAGATGTTTGCGGCAGACTTCAGCCTTTGCTTCTCCTGGTGCTACTAGTCGACCTAATCAAACTGGGCGGGAGACTTGGTGGATCAGCCGTTGGGCTTACTGCTGTCCTATGTGTGGTGGAACATGGGTTCGAGTTGTATAGATGATTAAACTTATAGGTGTGTTCCTTTTCTAGTTTTACATGGAACGAGCTCCAAGGTGGACAGACCATTGCTGATCATTGACAACTGAATGATGTGCCACTGCTGATTGTTGATAACTGAGTCATATGATGCAGATTGGACATACAGAAGCATTCGTGAAGGTTATCATTTTAGAAGATGATCCTGGTCAGTAATCAAACTCATCATGATCTCAGCTATGTTTTTAGTCTTGCTTATTTACAAGTATGGTATAGAACTCTCCGTATCTGCTTCTCCTTAGGGTTTATTTTTTCCTTTTTCTTTTGGGGATGGGGGGAGGATTTAAAGACCGATTAGGTTACTTTCAGTATAGAATAAGACTATTTTGTTGAGAATTCATGTTGGCTTGAGCAGTTGACCCAGGGTATAGGGTATTCTGTGGCTCCACATCAAACTTGTTACCCATAACAAGCTAGCCTTTTGACATGGACACATTAATAACATTATGATGACTAGAAAGTTCAATGAGTTATGTTGCGCAATTGGTCGTCTTCTAGTTAATGATCATGATTTCACCTTCCCCATTCTGTTAACAAATTAGGAACATTGTAATACAAATCAATTGGTGACCATTAAATAAAACTCAACTATTTTGTGACGCATTAGATTGATTTTTCTTTATTCTTTTCAGGTTTTCGTGTTGCAGGTTGTAAATCCTCTAGCCCTGACCTTGATTTATCCATTTCACTTGTAGTGAGAACATCACATTTGATTTATTAGTACACACGCATGTAAAGCGTAATAGCTGCCAGCGGGGAACACAGTCGAGATAATCGTAGCCTCGGGAAACATTTCTCTCATGAGTTTAGTTCTTGATGGACTTGCTCTCTTGATTTATTAGGTTGGCCAGTTTTGTAGTCTAACGGGCTTTAACATTATTTGGGATAAGGGTGTGATTGTGAAGAAGGCAGGAGGGTGCTTGGTAGGTAGGTTCCTGTTAATTATAATGAAAGCAGCATTCTTGAAGCAAATCAATATATTATATTATAGCCCTTTGGACAAATGGGGAAACTCAAGGGGTTCCAGATGAGAGGAGGCCATCTGATTCTGATAGATGATGGGATTACGGTGGTTTTTTTGTTTTGTTTTGGATTCTGCTTGTTTCGCGAATGACTATACTTCTGATGTTTACATGCCATATAAATTTTCTCCCCCATTTGTGACTTCGTGTTAATTTCTTCTTTTTCTGGTCGATTTTCTTTTTCATTGTGTATAAATATGATGTCAAATGTTACGTGCCACCAAGATTAACCGTCTAACAACGCAAGACATTTTGATTGGTAAACATCATATTTTGAGCATTCCATCATAATGCAGGAACTGTTTTTTGGTTGAAAAAAAAGGAAAAACATGTTTTGTTTTGGGTATGGAAAAAAAATATTATCTCGGCTGCAAAGAATTTCCACAATTACAGATGTCAATGAAGGATAATGCGGTTCATGGCACTGTAATCGAGTGCTGAAGTTAATGATCTCCTTAAATAGGGTTACTTTCCTAATTTTCTTTAAAAGGAGGATCCTAAAAGAATTTGGGGTGACCGAGGGGTTTACCTCGGTGTTGAGGCCCCCACACCCCCCCTCCTCCCCTTGGTCACCACTTCGAATCCCAGGAAAAGTACCCCACATCCCCAAATTGCCGCATTTCATAAAATGAAAAAAGAGAGAGAAGGATTTGGGGTCAATATCTAATTTCCAAAAAAGAAAGTTATGGTTTATGTTTTAGGGCAAATCTTCCCTTTTCTATGTGTACGATTTTATTTGACTTGTCTAATACAATTATTAATATCTTTGAATGTATGTTATTTTAACTCTTTATTCTTCATATGATATGGGTACCCCAGCCTCTACGACATGTAACTCATTCTCATTATTAAAACTTTTCTTAAACTTTTGCATTTTACCTTCGTTATTTAAATTCAAACCATATGATGGTGCACATAGCAATGGCCATTCATGCCTAGTTGTTTTGCAAGTTTTCCAATTAAAATACAGCATACTAACCGCATAAGAGAAGAACAAAATGTTGAGATAAAAACCACCTTTTACTTGAGGCATTTTCTAAATAGATGGATTCTCACATCTTCAAGCATACAATTATAATAGACCATGTTTGCAAATCATTTGCGATAAAAACAGTACACCATGTAGACATCTATATGATAGGAAGCAATGCATGGCTAAACAAAACCATGACATTTATGGCAAACGACATAAAAGAGCACTACTTTCTCTTTTTCTTTTATTATATATATGCCACATGTAGGAGTTGAATTAGATATGTCAGGACATTTTACTCTGATTTCTACGAAGACTACAAGTCTACAATTGTTTAAAAACATTTAAAATAAAAATAAAAATTTCTCATTTAAATTGTCATTAACATTTAATCTTCATCAACCTTTTCCTTTTAACTCTAGAGTACCATTAACTCTCCATTCTCTATTATTTCAAAGCACGAGGGTTGAAAGTAAAATAACCATTATAATCATTGCAAGTAAAAGCAGAAGGAATATGTTTCCCCTCGTGTTTCGGGCACGTAGAAGGCCAATGGTCACCTAGCTTCCCACAAAGTAAACAATGCTTGAGAATGGCGCATCCTTCACTTCGGCCACAATCAGCACAACATGAGCCTATAAAGCGGCATCCGCAGATCTTACAAATTAGCTCACAACCCTCGCCAAGAGTTGCGTTCTTTGGGACATGATGCTGCTAAGGGCATAGTTGGGTAATGTGCTCACCCACCTTTAAACAATACATACATTCACCTGTGTGCAATTTGTTGATCAATTGTTAAATACAACAAAAGTAATAAAAATAATCATTTATTATTATTAGTTTTAAAAAGACAATGAATGACACAAGATGATAAAACCTAGCAATAAGTATTGTTAGCACATTACAGAGAATAACGACAAATACATAGATATGATGTCAATGAATATATGTAAATAGATTAGCTGCATGCGCTTTTTTTTGTCCCTAAAATCAAAAGCTTACCAATAAGATTAGGAGGGAGGAGGCTATCTAATCTTTTTTTCCTTTGTTTTGTCTCTAAAATTAATAAGTCAAAGAGGTCTAGCCTAATAGAAAAGGGCTTTGACTTGCAAACCTATGGTCTTAGATTCAAACCCACACGACACCTTGGTAGTGTTGTGTGCGAGAAACCTAACTCTACTTGTAGTTTGGACTATTACTTGTATTAAAAATAATAATTCAAAAGCATACCAATTTCTTCAGGTGTTAGTTCTTCACCCTCTGATTCTTCACCCTCAAATTTTTCACCCTTTGATTCTTCATCACCCTTTGATTCTTCGGCCTTTGATTCTTCGGCCTTTCTCCCTGTTTCCATGAAATTACATTGTTAAATACAAAAAGAAAAAAGGAAAAAAACAAGGGTGATGTCAAAGAACTTAGAAGGAATGACATCTATGATCCCATCAAGAAATAACAATATATTAAACAGTGGTTATGCATCATGCAAACACCAGAGAAATTATATTTTTAACATACAAGATATTATGTCATAAAATAGAGAAGCTGCATGCATTTTTTTTTTGCTTTTCTTGTCTCTAAAATCAAGAGCATACCAATAGGATTAGGAAAGAGGAGGCTATCTATTTTTCTTCTTCTAACATATAGTTTAGACTGTCGTTTATATTCACACACAAAAGCATACCAGTAGGACTAGGAGGGCCCCAGTGTAGAATAAGAGAAGTCTTAATTTCATTTATTTGTTCTTCATCCATTAGTTCTTCATCTTCATCTTCATCTTCATCTTCATCTTCATCTTCATCTTCATCCATTAGTTCTTCATGTTCATCAATTAGTTCTGTAGTCTTTGGTTCTCTAACCTTGATATCTGTTTGCACGCGATTACATTATTAATACCCAAAAAAAAAAGGGGATGTGCGGTGATGATGTCAAAGAAGTTAGAAGGAATGATAAGAAAAATAACTATATCATTATATATCGGCTATCCATCATGAGCACACAGAAATAACTTGGTGTGAGAAATCATTTTCAAAATATTGGGATCATATACATCCTCAAATTTCACCAACAAAAATAAAATAAAAACAACAGTCCAACAACTTCAATTACCTCCCATAAAATAAAAGAGAAACGCCCAACACAAATTTTTTTTGGGGGAGAAATAAAAGTATTTCCAAATCAAATAGAACAATATGACTGACTGGAGGCAAGGGCCTTATTAAAAAGAAGAAGAAAAGAATGGGTGATGATGTCAAAGAAATTAGAAGGAATGACATCTATGATTCCATTAACAAATAACTATATTATTACATATCAGATATCCATCAAGCACACACCAAAATAACTTGGATGGAAAAATCATCTTTAAAAACTGATTCAAAATTTTGGCATAATATATATACTCTAATTACAGCAAAAAAAGAAAAAGAAAATAAAAACAACACTTTTTTTCTTTCCAAACAATCAAATTTCATAGTCTTCCTCACAAACCTTGAAAACAATAATCAATAGCATACAAGAGCACTAGGACATAAGGGAGGATATAATAGCAATATTACTGAGTGGAGGCATGGAAAAGCACATGTACATACCGATTGTTGGCATATCACAATTGAGGGGAACCATATCGAGCACCTCCGACTGGGAATCCAATTTCAGGCACTCCAAAGATGAGACGTTGTCCATGGCTGATGTGTAGAGCTTGGTACTTGGGTTTGAGGTTGTGAGAGAAAAAACGACGGGCGGTTTGGGTTTAGGGTGAATTGTGAGAGAAAGAAAGAAGGGCATTCTTACTTGCGTTTTATATAGGCGGTTTGGCTTGTTTGAATAACCGACCATATTAATCAGTATTAATTTTTTTCCATTTTTCAGTTATCATTAAAAACTAATAGACCCCGCATCTTTATTATTATTATTATTATTATTAGTACCCTTTTATTTTATTATATATATATATATATTTTTTTTATCAAGCACGCATCTTTAATAAGCAGGGCATTAATTTCTAGTTTTGATTTTCCCATTTGGTTTGAGATTTTTGATTTCTCAATTAGAGCAGGAATATTCTTTGGTGATTTTGAGTCCCAAATAAAGAAAGTTAATTAATGTGGTTTTTCCTAACCTTTTCCTTTTCTTTTCAAGTTTACGCTAATATTTCATTCCCCACTTCCGAAATTTGAGATTTTTCCTGATTGAATAATAAATTATCATTAAAAATTAATAGGCCCCAATGCAGGTATCGTTGACGTCTTTAATAAGCATGGCATTAATTTATAGTTTTGATTTTCTGATATCGTTTGGAACTTTAGTTTTCAGTAACCTTTTATTGTTTTTACTAACAAAAAGGATAAGATTTTTAAAAAAATTGATTTCTTGATGTTCAAGCATGGAAAGTTTTAGTTTATAGAGTAAGATTTTTTTACTTCCCTAAAGAACAACCCTCCTCTTATAAAAGCATGACTGCCGCTCTTAGGCCCAGTTTGGGATTGCTGTCACTTTTAAAAAAAGTTGCTTCTGTTGTGCTTTGAAAATAATTAGCTGTAAAGTAAAGCAGCTCCGTGTTTGGTAAACAATATTTTTAAAGTGCTGTTAGTACAAAAAGCAATGTCAAAACCGTTTGGTAAGTTTTAATATAAAATTGTTGTAACTGTGAATAATGACTAAAATAGACATGATGTTAAAAGTGTTATGTACTAATCATGTGGTAGTAGTGGTAGTGATTGAGTGGAGGTGGTGGTGGTGGTAGGGATGACGCTTGTGGAGGTGGTGGTAGTGACAGCATGGTGGTGGTGGTGGTGGTGGATGTGGAGGCTTTGAAGGAGGAGGTGGTGGTGGCGGAGGTGGAGGTGGAGTTGGTGGTGGTGGTTGTGGTGGTGGTGGTGGTGGTGGTGGAGTGTTATTTTTTAAAATGAATGATGGTATTTTGGGAATTAAAAAAATTCATTAAATGTTCATCTCTGCTTCTTTTGAAAGCAGCTTTGAAAAGCAACCCATAGCCTGCTTTTAAAAGCTGCTGTCAAAAGGCCACTGCTTTTAAAATAATCGAGATATTTTATTTTTACCAAACACCTAAAACTGCTTAACTTTAAAGTGAAGCAGGTTTTTGACGAAAAAAAGCAATCCCAAACGGGGCCTTAATCGGTTGAACTTTTTCGAACTTACAAGACAACTTATTTTTCTTTTACAACAACAAATTGGTGATTGGAGTTGTGTTGAATTTTTATTTTGCATTATGGCTCGTGCATATTCTATGACCAACCAAAACTTGCAAAACTCAATTTCAGAACGGGCATACTTGGAGAAAACCAACGAAGATTTGAAGGTTTGTGACATCACTACGTATAAATATACAGTTTTGTTTTTTTTACTATCATACATCTTTTTTGCGTGTTTGTGTGTGTTTGTTAAATCTATCATATACCTACTTACTAGACTCTTGGTCTTTTTTTTTTCTTAACTTTTAATTAGTTAATCATATAATATGCCCACACGTACATACTAATATATACTTGGCTCAGGCATATTCTCATTCTTTTTTCTCTTATGTTTTTTACCTAATAAAATTCAAATTTTTACCCAGGTGGAGGGATGGGGCACAACAAACATCGTTTATATTGGTAAAGAAAGTTGTGAATCAATATTATTGGTTGGTGTTGATTCGAGAGCTACATCTGGTGGGGAGGAAGGATCTATAACGGATGACAAGACAAAAAAATATTTTTTTATGAAGAGTTGCAATGTATTTGCAACTAAGGCGGGAAATTCCGATCATTGTAAGAGTATGTTGAATTATGTAAGGAACCACTTTCTCGACCGGAAAATAGTTAATGGCATACGTGAGGCACCAACTATTGCCAAACATTATATTAGCAACTGGGAAACAAACTCAAATTTGGAATTATTTCAGGGATTTACTATTTTGGCTGGATATAAAGATGGTATTCCTTATGCATATAAAGTTAGGGCTTCTGGAAAGTCGTCGAAAAAATCCAAATCCAATATTTGCCATGGACATGTGATGGGAAGCGGTGGTAAATATGTTCGTGAATACTTCAAGAATTGCAATATGGAAGAAGCCCAGAGTTCAAATTTGATCTAATGATGCCTTCGGCAGTTCTGGGCAAGGGCTACCTTACCGATGCTTCCTTTTGTCCACATGTCATGTCTTTATTGGTCGTTGATTTTGGTATAAACACTTGATATTTTAAAAAGAATGGTAAACTACAGTAAACCCCTCAACCTATAAGGTCATTTACGAGTCCATACCCGATTTTGGGGACATTAATGGGTACATACTCAACGTCATGGAAAACCTACAGATTACCCCCTCCGTTAACGAGTCCATCAGGAAATCCGTTATCTGCCTACGTGGCAAATGTGGGTCCCATTTTTTAATGAGGTGGAGTTGCAGGTGGACAAATAAATAATAAATAATTATATATTTTTCAAAACTAATTTTAAATCATTAAAATTATTTTAAAATTGATTATAAAAAAATTAAAAACAAAAACAAAAAACCAACCCAGAAGAACCCACCACTCTCCCCCGTTGCAACCCTCCCTCAACACCTACCCATGACAGCCCAACACAAACAAAAAAATCAATCTTCTCCGATATCCCCCTCCACTCTCAACCGTCATCCTTTCTCTCCTCCTACCACCTTCTCCAACCCAACCTAACTCACAATATGAATTCCGACTAAATCCCTCAACCATCACCAACTCCACCTCGAAACCCCGCACCTGGGCCCCTATCCTCAGCCGCTATCTTTTTCACCAGAGAGAAGCTTGGAGAAGAACTCAGATTGACCAACTCAAATTCTACAACATCCCGATTGAGTTTGGCAGTGCCTCCAAAAGATTCGAAGACAAGTTTAGCTCTTCAAGCTTCTCTAATCCAGCTATTGAATCATGAATTACTTGTTCAAAATTGATTTTTTTTTTTCCGTAATTCAATATTAACAAGTTAATTAAATCAAATCAAACCAAATGAAAAGAAATCTAATCTGGAGTTCATTATTGGAAAGATCGAGCATAAGCAAACCGCGAATCCGGCCAAAGGCCTCGGGCAAGAACCGCAACCGCCGACCGGAAAGGTAGACCCTGTCCAGCTCGGTTTCAGAGGCCTTCTGTAGAATCCCAACCACCTCCTCATGGACTTGGTCACTGGTGAAACCCTCCTCCTCCACCTTGTCATCTTCGATGACGACGACGCCGGCCTCAGCTGACTCATAAATCTTGACGAGCCTATGCTCGGCGTCCTTGAGAAGCTTCTCGTAGGCTGAGTGCAACTCATCCAGCTGCACAATCGCCTTGTAACCTTGTTTCTCCTTCTCCATCGACTCGCGGTACTCCTGCTATCTGTCAGCAAGGTACGCCTGCCACTGGAGTCGGTCGACGTCAGCAGGGCGGGGTGAGAGAACGAGCTCCTCTAGCTTCTTTGCCAAATCGGAATCGACGACGGCGAGCCTGGCCTTAGAAACATTGACGGCCTCGTGGTCGAGGCTGTCGTCGAGGTTTTTTTTTTAATTTTTATTTATTTATTATTTTTTCAACGTGGAATTCCACGTCAATTAAAAATTGGTCCCACAAATACCACGTAGGCAGATAACAGATTTCCTGACGGACTCGCTAACGAAGAGGGCAATCTGTAGGTTTTCCGGGACGTTGAGTATGTATCCATAAATGTCCCCAAAATCGGATATGGACTCATAAATAACTCTATAGATTATGAGGTTTACTGTAGTTTACCCTAAAAAAATCATACTATCACAAAGGACCCACCAGGAAAGTTTTGGGACATTTTGGAAAAAGCAAAAGGAGAAAAAAAAATTTAAAAAAGCAAAAATGGACAAAAATGCCCTTATTTATTTTTAAATTTCCTAAGGAATCCAATACATTTGCATGTCTTTGATTTGAAAGTTGAGTGGTTTTTTTGTCTTTTTTAAAAAAACTTTGGCTTTTTCTAAAAGTGAATTTTTTTTTATGTATAAAACCTAAAAAACCTGAAAGTTTTTGAGTTCAAGTCAAGTCTACGTGTAGTGTCTGAGAGTACCCTCTAAGGCCCTCAATTTTTTAATTTTTTTTTCACAAAAAAGATCCATACTATCTCTATTTATTAATATTACAGTGTTGCCGGCACTGTCAAATACGTGCTCTGAAAAGAAGTTGGGTCTGAAAATTTGGCAAAACCCAATCCGATTCGAAGCGGAGAAGGAAGCGATGAGCAGCGGTCAAGGTGGACCCCACTCGCTGGCATTCAGGGTGATGAGGCTGTGCAAGCCCTCATTCCAGGTTGACCCCATTCCCCTCCTCCTCGACCCGTCCGATCTCATCGTCGGCGAGGACATCTTCGACGACCCAATTGCCGCCGCCCAACTTCCTCGCCTCCTCCACCACTCCCAAGTGTCCTCCTCCGACTCCTCCGATCTCAGCTACCGCTCCAGATTCCTCCTTCACCACCCCTCCGACTCTATCGGCCTCTCTGGCCTCCTCGTCCTCCCTCAAGCCTTCGGGTCTCTCTCTCTCACACATACACACACACACACATTTTTACTCTTCTTCATCTGTTAATAAAGTTTTGATTTTTAACTATGGCAGAGCAATTTATCTAGGGGAGACATTTTGTAGCTACATTAGTATCAATAACAGCTCCAATTTCGACGTCAGGGACATTATAATCAAGGTAAGGTTTCAATCTCAAACTCTTTGAGACTGAATTATCCATAATTATTTGGTCTATTTTAATTTAGTTCCATTT